GGTTTCCTCAACACATGCCCTATCCATCGCCATCTCCAATTCTCTGTGTTGGATGTAGTTCCACATTTGTGATTTTGTTTGGCCAGAAAATCCTCATGATCTTTCTTTTGTGGAAACTAGAGAGTTTGCATATGTCTCCTTCTGTCATTCTCCAGCATTCTGACCCATAGAGTAGGACAGACAGTACGCAGCTGTAATATATTCTCATTTTTGTCCTTCTACTTATGTCGCTTGTTTTCCAGATGTTCTTGAGGCTGATGAAGGCCCCTCTGGCTTTACTTAATCTGGCCTTTATATCTTTGTCTGCACCCCCATCGGATGTTACTATGCAGCCAAGATAGGTAAATGTTGTTGTGTTGCCCAAGTCGTTTCCATCAACCTGTATTCTTGCTGGTTGTTTGGTGTTTCTTGACATAACTTCTGTTTTCCTGGTATTGATTTTTAATCCAATTTTTTCTGCATTTCTCTGTAATTTTGATGTTTTACTTTGCATATGCTTTTCCAGATGTGATAGGAGGGCCAAGTCATCTGCGTAGTCTAGGTCTTCAAGATTGGTAAAGAGTGTCCATCTTATTCCTGTTATTTCCATCTAGGGTTGATTTCATTACCCAGTCAATTGCTATTATAAAAAGGAGAGCTGACATCACACATCCCTGCCTTACGCCAGATTTTACTATGAAGCATGCATCTGATGAGCTGTCTACAGAGCAATTAAACTCCACGTAAAAAGCTTTTATCAGTTCTACTATCTTTGATGGTATTCCATAATGTTTAAGATCTTCCATAGACTTTCCCTGTGGATACTGTCAAAGGCTTTTTCGAAATCTATAAAGTTTATTATAAGCTGCCTTTGCTCTATAATATTTCGCAGGGTAAACACCTGGTCGCAACAACTTTTCCCTTTCCTAAAACCTGCTTGTTCTTGTCTTAGTTTGGCATCTATTGCAGTTTTAATCCTGTCAATGATTATTCTGCTGAAAATCTTACTCGGTATTGATAGTAATGTGATGCCCCTCCAGTTATCGCAGTTAGTAAGATCTCCCTTCTTTGGCACTTTAATGATATTTCCTTTGGACCATGTCGTTGGTATTGTATTACTATTCCAGATCTTTGTGAATAATGAGTGTAAGATGTCTGCTGCAAGGTATGGGTCTGCTTTGAATAGCTCTGCTGGCAGTTGGTCATTTCCAGGTGCTTTGTTGTTCTTAAGGGCTGTTATTGCTTTGAGTATTTCAGCTTTAGATGGTACCTCTGTTTCAATTTCTAAGTCAGTGTCAGCTTCCGGTATGTGTGCCAGTTCGTTAGGCTCCGGGCGATTCAACACTTCTTCAAAATGTTCTCTCCATCTTTCATCTTTAACAAGCAGTTAAAACAAGGATATAAACAATTTAATTTGAAGTCATTATTTTGCAGGTTTTTTTTGGGCGATTCACCTTGTCAGCAAATACAATTTATCATTGAAGTCAAATGCAGACTGATGTTTTTCATACTAATCACTCATTATTTACACACTGAAGTGTCGTCAGTATTTCTGTTATTTTCAGATCATGACGAGTAACATACGGCGGATGTGTCCGATCGGATTGGAATGCTCACTCCTCCATGACACCTGATCCCACCTCTGATGTTTCGGAGGTCTACGTTTGCTCTGTTCCTCATTTGTATTGTTTGAATGATTTTTTGAGTTTTTATACTGTTCTTTCACCGTAAATATTTGAAGATAAAGGAAATTGTAATAAAAGAACTGTTTCATAAAGTCATTTTGGTACGTCCATCATATTCTATGGATGAGAATTCATAACAAGGCCTGGGTGCCATAAAACTAAGACGAGTTCACTTTTGATCTCAGTCTCACTTTTACCAAAGAAATATATAGTGGAAATGTGAGACTGAGATCAAAAGTGAGCTCGCCTAATTTTTTTTTTTTTGGCCCACAGGATCATGAAACATCTTAAGCAGATAAAAATTAAAATATGCTTTGATGTTCATTTAGAAAAGTGTTGTTTTTTGCAAATTTTGAGGTTAATCAATTATTTATGAACATTTTACAGACAATTGAAAACTTGACCTAAGTCTAAGTCTGTTTCATGATCCTGCGGCCTTTCTATGTTAGAAATCACATTTAGGCAATGAAATCTATTTAATCTATTTGTTTTTATTAAACAAAACTATTTCTCTTCCTATACTTTTAATTATGCAATTGTTTTTACATTATATAAATTTTATCTCAAATCTTGTGTCAATTAACAACAAATAATTGTAAACGTTCCTTACTCATTATGGCTCCTTTAGGATAATTTTACATAATTTCCGATTGTTTTACTAATACAGATGATGTAAAAAAAATCTGCTGACTTTATAAATAATTCTATGTATTATGAGAAAAACAAATTATTAATGATTCATTCTTTTATTCTGAATTAACAACAAAAGAACATCCGTCTCAAAACGTCCGAAATCTTAGCTCGTTTGGCGAGTTATACCGTCTTTTGCCTAAATGCGACCAAACTGTCTTACAAAAAAATTATAGTTTTCTATTGAAACAAGAATATTACCTCTAAGGTAAAAAAAACTGTTAAATGCTAATATGAATGTTGCGCTAAACTTGTTTACGTGTAAAAGGTGCAAACAGTGATTGATCCAATGAAATATATTGAAAAAACGAAAGTAGTCAAGCTAAAAATCATTAAACAATACAATAGAGGAGCAGAGCAAAAGCAGGTCTCCAAAACATCAGAGGTGGGATCAGGTGCCATGGAGGCATGAGCATCCCCTGATTAAAAATCATAAACAGTATGAATATGTGAAGAGGACATAAAACTTCCAGATGTGGGATCAGGTGCCTAGAAGGAGTAAATATCCCATGTTAATCGCTCACACCCGCAATGATCCCTATGCGATACATCATTCATCGCTGTCAGTGAAAAAAAAGGCATTTTCTTCGTCTTAGTCATAAATCGGCGCTTTCAAAATAATTCTGAGTTAAAATCTTTTTAGCCAATGATTTGATTTAAATGATATATGGACAAACTATTCATAATAACAAAACAAATGGTAATGTTAAAGTGTAGAGCAGGAACACACTTTTCTGAGGGATGTAGTCTAGGCACTTAATTATGAACCTCTTTTGAATCTACTCAGAGGTAATTACTAACATTAGGTTTTAATTTTGCATCTTAATCCACTCAGCAAATTTGAAAATTTGTTTGATTGTGATAGCTTAATTTACGGGCAAAATAACCGTATATCTCAAACAAGTACAATGTAGTCCTATAGTATAGTTTACGAGACATTTTAATTGATTAGCAAGTTCTCGCATATTTAAATGGACTACATGAAACTTTTTTTTTCAAAGTCCAGATGTGGATTCAAGTACCAAGGACGAGTAAGCATCTCCTGTTGACCGGTCACACCTACTGTGATCACTGTGTATTGATTACGTAGACGGAACATTCCGTAGACAAATTCAGTATCAATACAAAGGTTTAACTATTGGTATGTAACAAGTCATATATGATACGACACAGTGACTGGTCGATCATCTTAAGCCTTTTCCTAGAAGAAAATATTTTGAAAAATATATAGACAGAGCATTTCGTAGTAGAATTTAGAATGAATATGGAAATAACAATCAGTATTTAAGTTCAACAGTTCTGTCAAACAATACAAATCAGGAGCAGAGTAATCACATCGGCCTCGATCAAAATAACGAAAGATTCTTGAACAATTCAGTTTAAAATTAATGAACTCACAATAAGTATTCAAACGTCAATTATCATTTGACTTAATGCAAGAATGTATAAAACGTTATATTAAACAATTGGAAGGTTATATATTCAAGACTCCAAAGTGCGATGGTCACGCCAAAGTGCGATGGTCTCCCCAAAGTCAGATAGGCTGCGCCAAACCCAGATGGCCCACTGTCTTGACGGACGCCGAAGTCCGATTGTTACGCTAAAGTCAGATGGTTCGTTTCCAACGAGACGTAATGCGCTAAGGTGCGACGGTATGACACACCAAGTTATGATGGTGCGGGGGAACAATCAACGTTTATGACTTTACAATAATCCGACGTCAATCCTCGACGCCATTGTCCTGCATTTAAAAGCCATTATTTCGGCATTTGTCCTCGCATACAATTTTACTGATTTTGCGTATTGCTTGCACCTATTAGAGATATAAGGATAAGCCCTCAACCGGTTAGGGTTAGTCTTTGAACACTATTGGACTGATAAGTGTCACTTTGACCCCAATGGATCACGAGGGATCTAGGGTTAGTCCTCGCACAATATGTCACTTGATTTGGGTTAGTGTATCACCCAAGATATTTAAGTTAAAGTTGTTACACTTTTTTGACTGATGAGGGTTACTTATGCACCTATCCATAAAATGACGATCTTGGATATTAATATGCAATTTCATTTGAATAAAACAATCGAATCTTGGCATGACACGGCCTCGAAATTTGGCGCAGTAGTACTATGAAGTCTGAAACGTTAATTATTTTTCTGCACCAGTGGACCTTGGCGTTTCATCGGGATTTGGCGCAGACCATCGGACGTTGGCGTGACCATCGGGCTTCGGGGTCCCATCGCACTTTGAAGTCCTAGATATATAAACAAGGCAATGACCAAAATATTACAAAATGCTGACATTAACCCCCTGTTACATCATCTTATCTGTCTTTAGCTTTCCTCGGTTAAAAAATTGATCGAACTAAATGCATGTTCCTCAGTTTGAACAAGCTGGGAAGGGAAACACCTTATGCACGTGATAGCAGAATATTACATTATTATGCAAGAAACACACTTTTCTTCAAAGACATGTAAAATTATTTAGAATTAGTGCAACAGAATTGGTCAATTTTATTTTTATACTCTCCAGGGATGGGAAAGCTTTCAACAAGGAAATGTATCTCAAATGTTATATATAGAGAGGATTTTGTCTGCATGCCAATTATGATATTGCGGAAAAAAATCAAGTGCAGTATAATTGCTGCATTTCTCTCTCGAGTTGACAGTCTAGTGCGGCAAGTCAGAGGGACGCGATGTACGAATCTGTCTTCTCTAAGTACCAGGGCTCACACTGAGTTTATCAATATGAAGACATCGAGGCATATTACACAGATTTTGCATTGTAGCTTAATTTTACTTTTCTCAGTCACCCATGCAGGTAGGTTTCTACATTATTTTTTTTTTCTTTAAATGTGAAAGTTTTACGGTGGGTTTTATGGAATCTTTGCAATTATACTTTAAATTTAACACATCATGATATAAGTTGACAACAGAGGGGGATATGCTCTCGTACTTATCTCTCATACATAGCTGTCTTTTTTATGCATGATTTCTAGACAATTTGTTTGCATATTTGAAAAAAATCTTACTTTGTTTACAAGTTTGTTTGTTGACATTTTTTCACTTCCGCCAGCTGCCTGTCACATGTTTTGTTAACACGGAAAATTTCAAAAACTTGTGTCAAATTGAAACTTTGAATTGATATTCAATAATTTGTTTGTCCTTGCAGAACACGGTTCAGATCAAAAGTGTTTATACCAAACAGTATATATTTTTTTTATTCCATTAAATAGTTGGCATAGATTGAATCTTGTTCCTGGACGGAGAGGAAACGGGAAATTATTTTTATTGGGTGTAGCTTTTGATTATTTATTTTAATAAGTTATCAATATATTCAAGATTCACAAATCTTCAGCTGTGCAATTTGTTTAATCTGAGATCTCTTCTGTCATTTAAAGAAAATTTTGTCAAAATTCAGGGGAAAATTAAATATAAACAAAGACATCAAAGAGCTTCAAAAGTGAACATCATTCTTTACTTACAGGAGAATTTTTTTTTTCAAATGTAGCTAGGAGGTGTTTTTTTCCACAACAATTTTTTTTTAAGATTTACTTAATTTTTCTGACTTCTTTTGGACCTCTTGATTTCAGCATGTTTTTATTACTCATTATTATCACATAAATATTACTGATTATCAATATATAAATATGAACTTATGACACCTAATGTTTATTTTTAAACATTGACCCTTACGAGCCTCTCTCTGACATAATCATTCCGGAAAATGGAGAGCACTCCTCCTCAACAATCGTAACATTTGATAAAAAGAATCTCTTTAAAAACTACGTCTACGTTTCAGCCACTTAAACACGTCTTGAAAAAACTGATTTTATAATAATGCTTTGTGGAGTGACTTCATATCTGATATTTTTCTTTTGTTTTAATTTGAGTCACATTTATGACGCAGCTAAATTTTTACTGCATCATGGCATGACATTACGTTTTTTTGAAATATTTTTATTCGATCAGACAAAACATTAATTTGTCTATCTATTCGAAATAGGTAGCAACTTTTCCAAGCACTCGGTACTTCGGGAGTGAATGTTGCAGGTCTTTAGAGTTAGACCTTCTGAAAATATTCAATGACACAGGAACTCGGGTATAGGTCTCAGTCTGAAGCCCTTTCCCAGCATACAGTGACTCTCAAACATATAAAAATATCTTGAAGGGAAAGAAAAACAATTTTATAGCCACTTTTAAGATAAGATCATAAATGTGACCAGTCTGTAGAGGATACCAACTCCTCTATGGCACCTGATCCCACCTCTGATGTTTTCGAGGTGGGTGTTTGCTCTGTTCTAATTTTGTATTGTTTTATTGAGTTTTGAGCTTAAACTCAAAACTTTTGAGCTTGAACTTTGAGCTTCCTTATCGGAAAATAGTTCATAAAGATAAGAACATGTCATAAATGTGTCAAAAAGACGCACGTGTAACCAATGATACCCTACGCTTTCAAATAAATACAGGCATATACAGTATAACCAATAATATTGCAGGCTTTAAACATACATCTTTCATCAGTTTCTGATTCAGAAACCCAGGAAGTTTGTTTTCAAAACATCTCTTTACTTGATACGGTTTGATGTTTCTATGAAATACAGTTGTCAGATTTCCGAAACCGATATAACATGCGTTTCTTTGTTTTGAATAAAAAAAATCAATTCGCCAAATTTCATTTCATTTACTCAAAACCACTTTATCAGCATGTCACAACTGTTAATATTTGTCATATTACGGAAAACAATGCAAAAAGACATCAAAGTGTCAATTGCTATCTGAATTAGTTAACTTAGGTCATCACTTAAAAGTTGTCGGTCATTTCTGGCTATAAGTGGTAAGATGAAAGATAGTTAAGGTGAGAGTTCGTTGTCTCACAGGAAACTCACAACTCACAAGTGCGTTTTCTTCATAAACAGGTTTTACCACAAACGTACAAAACTGAATATTCTTAAACTTATTATAATATTTTACAAAGCTTCAAAATTTGAAGACAGCTCTGTGGTTTAAGGGGTGCATGTTTGCTCTGCTATAGATTGATATTGTTTAGATGGACCTTTGAGCATGATTCAGAACTTTTCTTTTTCTTCATATTTCATCCTTATCTGTTTCATACTTGGATATTTTACTTAAAAAAGATGTTAATGGTAATCTAACAACCAAGCTCTCTGATAAACGTGATGACTTTAACTTCCCATACTTCTGCAGCAATATACCTTCATCTCCTGCATACGGAGTTAATGTATCTCAGTTGATCCGATACACAAGATTATGATCTATTTATAAACAATTTTTAAAACGAGGTAAATTATTGAAAACAAGTTGATGAAACAAAAATATCAGCAGTCCCGTTTAAAGTCATCATTTCGTAAGTTCTATGGTCGATACAATGACCTTCACAGCAAATACAATTTATCATTGCGTCAAATGCTGGCTGACGTTATGATTCTAAAACTATTGAGATAACGAAAAGCAACCAAGCAAAAAAAAAATTTAAAAATTACAAATCGAGAGCAGAGCAAACGCGGACCTCAAAATCTTCAGCGAGGAAGCATCATGGAGAGGTAGTCATACCATATCGACCAGTTACACCCGCCATGTGCTCCTAATAATTTAATTTTAGGAATATTTACAAAAATTATCTTTTGCAGCCAAACAAACGGTAATAACTCAAGGGAAAAGTATCATACAGAGTGAGAATTATCCGAACGACTACCCCGGGGGTGAAGACAGGGTGTGGGTCTTCAACCAAACGGTAGGATTATGGACGGTGACATTCCAGGACTTCCATCTACAGGAGTCGAAAGGGTGTGAGGATGATTACCTACTGATACGGAAGTCTCAAAGAGAGTGAGTTTGCTTAACTTTTATCAAATTACTACATAGAAAATGCTGAATAAAGGAAGAACTGTTTTCTCGTTTGGTATTTGCAATTATGAAATGGGGAACAACTGTATTCTTTTTTTTTTCCTGTCAACGGTTGGGAGGGGGATGTTTGCGACTGTTATATATTCATTTACGTGAAAAAATTGTGCTCTCATAGTTCTACCATGTCGTCACATATACCCTTTTGAATTCTCAATTTGTATGATGAATAAGCAAATTCAAATGCATTTAACAAAATAGTTGTGTAATGTTATATCTAACCTAGGATAACAATCTCCATTGTGTTTAAGGGAAACTTTCTCATCAATTTTGATTTGTTAGTTTGTTCTTTTTTTTTTGTTAGAACTCCATTAAAGCTGTGTGGTGTCAGAACTTCAGACTACTACATCTCTAAAGGTCCGTACCTCAAACTGGAATTTCACACCAACTCCTGGAATCACGAGAAAGGCTTCTCTATTGAAGTACAGCACGTTATGACTGAAGGTAGGACAATTTATATACAATTCTTGATTGCATTAAATAAATAAGAATTTGTATCTGTTTTTTTTAAATAACTCATTGTAATATTTTGTAAATTGGAGATTTTTTTAATATTTGACGATTAAAAAAATAATAATGAATATGCTTATTACGTCTTTTAGCCGAAGCAAAATCTATCGTCAAAAGGAAAGGTAAATATTGAATACTGTTATTTCTTTTAGTTGGACAGGTAAATCATTTCCCTAGATATCTTTTTAAGAGTGTAAAAATGATATCGTTAAACAATTTATCAAAACAAATAAAAGTTTATATTTATCTATAGTATAGATTATGGTGATATTTCTAACAAATTGAGATTGAACTGAATGACCTTTATGTATATATCAATATAAGTAAGTAAACACTTGATGACGTGTTATTAGGTACTGAGGTCAAGTTAGTGACTCACGTGGAGCATGAAGGCTTGTTTATCGTCCTCCTAGGAGTGTTATCCCTGGCTGCTCTCGTCTTTGTTGCTATGTTAGGGTGTTTCATCGTTGGGATGATGAAAAGACGTCACGAAAGAGTGATTCAGCAGAACATGATGAGTCGTCTGCAAGCTCAAAGCGAGAACCAAGTAGTGGCCGGAAGAAGATACAGCCGGAAAGAATCGGTCAAAAGTCACAACAGACCAGACTTTATGCGTAGCTTTTCGAACCAAAGCACAACCGGACTTCTCAGTTATCAATCCGCCGGCTACCCACAGACCGGTGATCACGTGTGACGATCACGTGATTGTCATGTGGGCAATAACGGAGAGCGATTGTATATGCTGAAGTAAAGCAACTTGTCTTCGTAATAAGAGACATTGCCCTTAAAACGTAGTCAACGTCATTTTAGGGGAAGTTTGATGTCTGTGTTTTGGGAACGACGTGCCTTTTAGGGGGTCGGTCATGAAGTTGTTTTATGTACATAGGTATGTCTTATAAGCAAGTTTTAAGTCCTTGTTCATGATATTTTTAACTGACCAACGAAGAATGCGCGTGGGTTTTTTTTATTCACGCATTTTAAGTTTTGTAGGTACGGTGGTAATACCGTACCGAACAATGTTAAAGAGTTGAGGCAATATTTACTTGTTAAATATATGTACGTATGTGTTTTAATGCTTGTTTTCAGAGAATATTTGAAGAAATTTTTAGAGTTCAACATTCCATTGATTAAAATTCACTGCTGCATGAATGCATCTTTATTTTGGAAAACCATATGTGAATGTCTTGTTTGCGAAAAAACTGTTTAATACTTCAGTCATAAATCAAAATGTAAACAAACATTATTTTTGTCATCGGTGAAAAACACTGCCAATCAGCTTAGCATATTTTATTTTCATTTTGTATCATTTTTAACCGAACAATCTTTTAAAGTTTCTTTTATCATTTTTTTTTTCAGATATAAATTTATTTCTGTATTTGTTTATCCCATTTTTACAAAGGAGAAAAACATTTTTGTATCCATTTCATATTTGTTGTTGTTGATGGAAGGATTCATGTAAATATGTTTTATCTAACAGCAGCAAAACCAGAGATGTTTTGAAGTAGAAGGCTACTGAAAAGATTGTCTTTGAGAGTGATATAGCTGGTTCTATATACGGGTTTTTGTTTTCATTTTGTCGATATTATTGCTTTTTGTTTTAATTTGCTCATAATTCAATAAATGTTGAATAAATGTGAACTACTTGTTTTTTAGCAGAAGATGTAAAGTGAACAATCCCTTCAAATAAAGCATAAATTGTTCATGAAGAAAAAAATAAACTTAGTTTTAATTGGCAAAATACGCATTTATATATATCTATCTCAGAAGAAATACTGATATAAAACTTAAATTTAAATGATCAAATACTTCCGATTAAACATCTGTTTTATTGCAACGGAACGAATTAATGTATACAACCCAGACGTATAAACAAAACACTCGGTAGCAAAAGCAGAAATAAATTGTTTATCAAAATGTTACATGGAATCGTTTTTGAGATATGCACGCATCAATGTGGAGGATTCAAGTTAACAAATAGCCTGCTTGATAAAATTTAATCTTCCATGATGTTTGAAGTATTTTGCTGTCTTTTTCTGGCCATAGTACACATTTCAGCCAGGTATGTAGTTTATTTTTTTTTAATTATGCTAATAAATGCACCATATGAGATCATTATTTTCCTTTTATCGATTGCTAATGATAAAACTTCCATTGGTCGGCATTTTGCTTATCTGACATAACATATAACAAACATAAAACCATTAGCTCCATAGATAAAAGCATCAGCCATAGAAAAGCAACATTATTGTGCAAACCTAGCGTTGTATTAATAGTTGATATGTAACCATATTTTTGCATGTAAAACAATTATTACTTTAACAATATTTCAAAGTTTAAGGAAGAAATATGGAGATAACGAACAGTACTCAAAATCCATTAAAAACAATACAAATCAGGTGCCATGGAGGAGTGAACATCCCCTGCCAGCCGTGTGTTCATCCGCCATGTGTTTCTCCTTATGTTCGGGATATAACGGAAAAACCTGTCCACAATTCAGATGGTAAATGATGGCCTATCAATAAGTATGAAATACGTCAACCAGCATTTGACAATGATTTATTGTGTTTTATGACAAGATTATAGCATTGACCATAGAACTTGCGAAATGAGGTTCATGTTTCATCAATATGTTTGTCAAAGGCTTTCCTCGTCCGAGAAATTGAATATAGAATGTAAACATGATCTTGTGTATTGAATCAGATAAGTGTATATTAAATTGCTACATATGTAAGGGAAATGGCAAAAAGCTGACATCATCACATTTTTCAACTGCGATCTATTTTCAATTCATGAAGCAAATAGCTTGCCATTCTGGACTCTGGAATTGTTCTGACTACGTATACTGACATGAGCATTTCCTCCTAATTGTTATTTGAAACGAATACAACTTTGATGTTATTATGAGTGTTATCATTGAAACAAATTCTAAAAGGGAACTTAATATTCAGTTATGCCTTATGTCCAATCCTATTTTTTCTATTTTAAAAATACTGTTTAAATCAAATTTTAACGAAATGATTAAGGGTCACAATAGAGGACCATTTCTGTCAAATATGTCAATGTATACTGAAAATGAAAGTCCGACCTCAGCACTTTTTTGTTCCTTTTAGCAATATTTGTCTATTTTTTTTCAAAAAATGTATTTTTATGACGAAATAGAAAGGATGTTTTTAAATGCATTATACGACAAAACTTTTCAATTAGAATTACCGGTATTCCTTTTTTGAAAATACATCTAATTTATAAAGCAAGCGTATCCCCTATCGTAATTGCGACTAGTCTATTCATTTGAAGTATTGAATCTAGATAATGTTTCGTAGAGTTTATGCAATAATATGCTGATGAGTTTCTTTTTGACATCACTTTTTTAGAGAAATAATGTTTTCTTAAAATCCATTGGAATTCAATTGGGTGGTCGAGATATAAGCAGACTTGTTTTGTATTTACATAAAGAAAAAGTTATGCAAAAAATTAAGTGACATATCAGAGCATTCCATATTTGCTTCTTAACTAATTTAAAAAATGGAGATAATGAACAGTATTCAAGATCAAAAGTCCATAAAAAATACAAAATAGGAGCAGAGCAAACATGGACCTCCAAAACAACAGAGGTGGGATCAGGTGCCATGGAGGAATGTGCATCCCCTGCCAACCGAACTCACGAAACGATGACTTTAACGGGTCTGCTGATATTCTTGTTATATCAACTTGTTTGTCAATAATTTGCCTCGTTTTAGAAATTGTTTATACGTAGAACATGCTCTTGCGTATCGAATCAACTGAGATATATATACTCCATATGCAGCTGATGAAGGTTATTGCTGCATAAGTAAAGGATCTTGTTGATTGAAAAGTTAGTCAACACGTTTATCATAGTGCTTGGTTGTTAAGTTACTATTAAGGTATTTTCAAGTACAATACCCAAATATGAAACAGATGTTTCTGACTCTGTGGTGTCTTTTATCTCAAGCTCACCGGGATATCTCATATAGACATAAGAAGGAAAGTTACCATTGTTAATTTACAATACGTCGTCGATAAATCCACGTATAAGATTTTGGGCAAATTCTGCTTCATATGAATACAAAAATAGGTCTGCTTATAACAGAGCTTAATTGGTATCAACTGG